TGTAGAATATTGTTTATTTATTATTATTTATCCTCTGGAACATTTGTTTAAGAGTGCAAAGATGTGTTTGATTAAATAAAATTCACCTGCAGTCAGGAGATCGCAGCAGCAACTAGTTGACCAGAAGTGGTAGGGAGGAGCCAGGTGGAGCAGGGTTTTTAAGGAGGGACCAGGAGTCACATGAGGTCTTCTTGGGAGGCATGAGGAGGTGACCTAGGTGAACTGCTTGCTATTCAGCCTCTCTAGGGAGCAGAATTCCACCTCAACCTTTGAATCTTGAGTTCTTTAGAGAGACAGAGATTTAGATAAGTTCCTTTTGTAGCTTTGAAAATGTCGGGGCCTGAGGAAACAGAGTATCGGCAGAGTTGTTGACTAGGGTAGCCTTAGCTTGAAAGGCAGCAACAATTAAAAAAGAAAATTGTCAAAAAGAAAAGACACCAGTAAACTCACAAGAGAAGAAAATGTAGAGTGTAACTGTAGCGCACTCCTTGACCAGCAAGGAAGAACAACCACGAAGTTGAGGATCCTTCCCAAATCACACTTTATTGGAGCCTCTTGGTTGAAGGGAGAGCGGGAAGCAAGAGAGGGGGAGAGAGAGGGGGGGGGAAGCAAGAGAGAGGAAGCGAGAGAGAGAGAGAGAGAGAGAGAGAGAGAGAGGAGAAAAGCCAAGCGTCTGCTGCTTTTCTAGGGTGGAGGGACTCGGATACTGTCCTGATTGGTGAATACCATTCTGCTGGTGCTGAGGGCCTCGTGATTGGCCAGGGACAAGGCTCAGTTGTGCAAATGCAGGCAAAGGGTGCTCAGTACCACGCAGCAACATCAAAAGGATTTGTTTACCTCCAAGCTGCAGGACCGCCAGCGCCATTTTGTAATGGCGATATCCGGACGGCTCCTTACATGTAACATCATGGTTGGCCGATGGCATACATCCAACCAGTAGCCCCCTGTCCTGTTCTTTGTGGAGGCCTCTATACCAGTGATACGGCCTCTCCTATTGGCTGGAGACTGGAACAAAGAGCATCTGTGGAATTGGAGAGATGGCCCAGCAGTTACTGCACACACTGATTGATCTTGCAAAGGCCCGCGTTTTAGTTTCCAGCACCTACATCATAACTGCTTGTTACTCCATTTCAAGGGAATCCAGATGCCCTCTTCTGGCCATATCCAGGTGTGCACACGCACACATACGCAATACACACACATACACAAACACATGCACACAATTTTAAAAAATCTAAGAAGGGCACTTGTAAGGCCAGTTATTGGTGAGCAGAAGGTGGAAAGAGGAAGGGTGCCTGTAAGACTGATCATGACAGTGAATGTGGGGAGTGGAGAGGCTGCTCCTTAGGGCCACTTAAGTCTCCCCACCTCCACCCCAACTGCTGAGGGAGGCATGTAATTCTATGTGGTTGAACTTCATATTTTCCCAGGAGTCAACATTTTATACTGAAAATGAATTCATATGCCAGGGTAATAGTATAATTATCGTTTAGAGACCAGTGGCTTGCACCTGCGCTCTCGAGATTCAGTTAACTGAGGTAGGAGAACCACCTTGTCAAGTTCAAGGCTGGCCTGGGCTACAGAGTAAGATCCCATCTTACAAACAAACAAGCAAACAAAACCAGAAAAAAAGAACAATAAACAAATACAGCTTCTTGTACTAGGCTCATCTTTATGACACATCTGTAAGTGAAGGTTGCCACACGATTTTAACGCACATGTATATATAGAGACAATCAAGATATACCAGGTGATGATGTTTGCAAGACCTGGATGTGACGATGCATGCCTTTAATCCCCATATTTGGAAAGCACAGGCAGGTGATATCTGTAGGTTCAAGGCCATCTGGTCTGAAGAGCAAGTTTCAGGACAGCCAGGGCTACATACAGAGACTCTGTCTCAAAACTAATAGATAATGTCTGTTTATAGAACTATGTTCTTATCTTCCATAAATAAGAATATATTTAAAGTGATATAAATATATACGTAAAAAATAAAATATGCATCTTATCTCTCATTTCAACTATAACCATATTGCATGTTGCTTTGTTAGCTGATTGCCATGTTTATCCCTGGGATACAATATGGCTGGACTGGCCTAAGGAAGCAAGGAAAGTGTGCATTCTTATTCAGTATGGCCAAGACCCAGTCAGCTGCTTAGAAGGCCTGGGGAGTACAGACACCCCCAGTTTAGATAATGAATGCAAAGAAAAGACGCAACTTAGATCTCAGCATCCAGATACTGTGCTTGTCTCAGAGGTCATGTGTCAGTCTCGTTCTGTGAGAACAATGGACTTTAAAAGTGGACCTCAGAAGACGTGGGGTCACTGACTCCTCAGAAGAGTCCCGTGGGGTCATTGACTCCTCAGAAGGGTCTTGTGGGGTGATTGACTCCTCAGAAGAATCCTGTGAGGTACACATTAGTTACTTTTCCTTTTGCTGTGACAAAATGCCCTGACCAAAACAACCTAAAGGAGAAAGGGGTCACAGTTTGAAGTTTGGTGGTATAGTCCATCATGGTGGGGACCCCTGGCAGCAAGAGCTGGAGGTGGCTAGTCACACCATGTCTACAGTCAGGAACCAGGGAAAGAGGATTACCTTGTCTGTGCTCAGTTCAGGACCCCAGCCCACTGAACGTGCTGCCCACGGTTGGGGCAGGACTTTCTACCTCAGTTAACCTACTCTAGAAGATCCCTCACGGGTACCTGGAGGCTTGTCCCGTAGGTGGTTCTGGATCCTGTCAGGTTGACAATCAGTACTAATGACCACAACATAAATGTCACCATGAGGCTCATTTTTCGCATTATAAACAATTTCTGAGTTATGTCAAAATTGTTCACCACAGAGCTTGTACCAGAGTTGCACCTCATTTCCATTCTATTGTAGTGATGAAGACTGTAGATGTAAGTTTCTTCCCCACCTGGTCCTGCAGCCATTCAGTCCCAAAGAAACACACAGAGGCTTATATTAATTACAAACTGTTTGTCTTATTAGCTCAGACTTATTATTAACTAGCTCTTACAAGTTAAATTAATCCATAATTCTTGCCTGTTTTAGCCATGTAGCTTGGTACCTTTTCTCAGTAAGACAGTCTCATCTTGCTTACTCTGTATCTGGGTAGCAACTGCAGACTGAGCCTTTCCTCTTCCCAGAATTCTTTTAGTCTGGTTGGCCCATCTATACTTCCTGCCTGGCTACTGGCCAATCAGCATTTTATTAAACCAATACAAGTGACAAATCTTTACAGGGAACAAGAACATTATCCCACAGCACTTCCCCTTTTTTTCTTTACAAAACAACAACTCTGAATATAATCACCTTTGTTTAGCTTTTTCCCCCTGACAATTATCAATAACAACTTGTAACTAACACTCTGAACAAAGACAAACATCCATAGTACATTTTTTGGGAATGTGGGCATAGTTTTCTAGGCTACTTCCAGGTAACTGGGGGCACTGTTCATCTTATGGGGACCTAAATAAAGGAGTATTCTGTGAGCCTAGATCATCTCAGCCAGCAGTCTTGAGTCTGTTCTGGATTTAGAACTCGGAGGAACTAACTCCGAGGAACTAATCTGGGCCATCCATTCCCACTGGAGATTTTTCAGGGGTTCTTCCCAATCAAACCTTATTTTTCTTAACCCAGAATTAATCCACAGCCTCTTATTTCCTGTGGAAATAAAAGCAAAACCTCTTCTCCAAAGTAACATATCTTTTGGCTTAAAATTTGAAGTCAAGGCATTTTCAAAATATATATATTAGATTAATACAGCAGCATTTATAATCAAATGTCCTTTAGCAGCTGCTGCTCCTTCCTAAGCAGTCAAACAATTCAGAGACAATACAATAATACACAGTTTCAGATTCTCTGTATATTTTCCATCTTTAATGGAATACGTGGCTTTAACTTTTTACTCTATTTCTTTTATTTTTATTTTTAATTTTTGGTTTTTTGAGACAGGGTTTCTCTGTGTAGCTCTGACTGTCCTGGAACTCACTCTGTAGATCAGACTGGCCTTGAACTCACAGAGATCTTCCTTCCTCTGCCTCCCAAGTGCTGGCATTAAAGGTGTGCGCCGCCACTCCCAACTACTTTCTTTCTTTCTCCTTCTTTTCTTTTAAAGGAACTTTCTCTATCCTTTTTCTTCTTTCTCGCAAGCCTACACATACATTTAAACATACTGTAAACCATTTAGAGTTTTTTTCCCATTTGAATCTGTCTTTAATGTATAGCTCTTTTTTTCTGACCACATGAGTCTTTAATATGCTAAGTGATACGGCTAGGATTAAAGCTATGTCTTTGGTGACTAGATCTGCCCCACTCCTTGGCTGTCTGAGAGTCTAGCTTCATGGTGGAGATACTTGTAGGGGCCATGTTTTATTTTGTTTGTTTGTTTGTTTTTTAAACCACAGCTCAGTGGAGTTTCTAGGTCCATGCTACCACCAAGAAGTATGCCAGTGAAAGCTCATAAACATCATTTAAGTGTTTGGTGGCAGGGCCTCTTAAAAGGGCTGTGAGGTTTTTGCTGCTAACACTGAGTCAGGAAGCCTCTCTTAAAGGAGCCATACCTCTGCTGACCTCTAGCAAACAGAGCCCACCTGAGACAAGGCTGCTACCAAGAAGCTGTGCTGGACTATGTTCTTTTGTCTGTTTAGAATCCTTTAAAAAAAAAAAAACACTTTCTCAGGCTTTGTTTGGAAATTCTTGCCAAACGTTTGGGCATCATTATGTTAACAGAGATTGTACTTTTGTTTCCTTATCATTCTGTCTGGGTGGGATTCTGACTTACAGGCATTCAGTCATAATCCTGCAGATGGTAGCTTTACCCCATTGACTTTACAGCCAAGCACATACACCAGCTGTCTGAACCTGTGGTTCCTCTTGTATGGAGCAGGACTACCATGGCAACAACACGTCATCAGTAAAAACTAACCTGTCTCAGGACAATTGGGGAGAGTTTGGCGGTGGCCGGTGGTGCAGGCCTTGCTCCAGCTCCACCATGAAGCTTCGGAAAGCCTGGTTGCTGGCCCTGCTCTTGGTGCTGACACAGCTGCTGGCTGCAGCGAGCGCTGAAGATGCTCACGAAGATGTTTCAGATACAAAACATGCCATTGAGGATGAAGAGGAGAAAGATGAAGAGGAAGATGACTTCGCAGTTAAGGAAGGAAATGGTGTTTTGGTCTCAGATGATGCAAATTTTGATAACATTGTGGCTGACCAACATACAGTGCTGTAGCATGAGGACCGGCTTGTTGGGGTTTCTGTCCCGCCCAGTACCCCACAGCCAGCAAGTCCCAGAGAAAATCAATCACACGGAGATCTCTATAAGTTATAAAGCTGATTGGCCCATTAGGTCAGGCTACTTATTAGCTCTTATAACTTTTGTTACCCCATTATCCTTATCTACGTTAGCCACACGGCTCAGTACCTTTCTCAGCTGGGCAGGTAACATGCTGCCTCTTCGGTGGTCTGGGCAGTAATGGCGGAGGGAGCTTCCTCCTTCCTAGCCTTCTCCTGTTCTCATTGCCCAGCCTCTACTTCCTGTCTGGTTTTCCCGCCTATACTTCCTGTCTGGCCAATCAGCATTTATTTAAAATATAATTGACAGATTATAGACAATTCTCCCACACCACAGTGCTACTGGAGTTCCAGGCACCATGGTGTGGACATGGCAAGCAGTTTGCTCCAGAATGAGAAAGTAGCCAGCACTTTGAAGAATAATGAGTTTCCCATTGCTGTCGCTAAGACTGATGCAACCCCAGCATCCATGTTGGCAAGCAGATTTCATGTGCGTGGCTTTCCCACCATCAAGATCCTGAAGAAGGATCAGGCTGTTGACTATGAGAGCTCTAGGACCCAGGAGAAAAGTTGTTGCCAGAGTCAGAGAAGTTCTCAGCCCGACTCAGACCTCCACCTGAAGTCACACTTTCACTCGCTACAGATAACCTCGACGATGTTGTGAACAATGCAGACACCATTCTGCTGGAGTTCTATGCCCCACGGTGGACACTGCAAGAAACTTCACCCTGACTATGAGAAGACTGTCAAGGAGCTCAGCAAACATTCTCCCCCAATTCCCATAGCCAAAGTTAAAGCTACTGAACGGACAGACGTGGCCATGAGGTTTGATGTCTCTGGCTACCCCACTTTGGAAATTTTCCGGAAAGGAAGGCCTTTTGACTACAACGGGCCATGAGAGAAATACAGAATTGTTGACACACGCCTGAGCAATCTGGGGCTCCCTCAAAGGAGCTTCTGACCCTGAAGCAGGTCCAGGAGATCCTGAAGGATGGAGATGATGGAGTCCTCATTGGGGTTTTTCAGGGAGACGTTGGCCCAGTTTATCTGCAGTGTCAGGGTGCTGCTAACAACCTGAGAGAAGAGTACACGTTTCACCACACTTTCCGTGCTGAAATAGCTAAGGTCTTGAAAGTCTCCGTGGGGGAAGTTGGTGTTGACGCAGCCTGAGAAATTCCAGTCGGAGGATGAGCCCTGGAGCAATATGATGGATGCTCAGGGCTCGACAGGGGCATCAGCCATTAAGGACTATGTGGTGAAACACTCCCTGCGCCAAGCGGTACACAGGCGCCCCCTGGTGGCTGTATGCTACAGTGTGGACTTGCGCTTTGATTACAGAGTTTTGGCATAACAAGTTCTGGAGATGGCCACGGACTTCTCTGAGTACACCTTTGCCATTGCTGATGAGGAAGATTAAGTCATGGAGGTGAAGGACCTGGGACTCAGCGAGAGTAGAGAGGATGTCAGTGCAGTCATCCTAGATGAGAGTGGGAAGAAGTTTGCCACGGAGCCAGAGGAGTTTGTTTCAGACACTCTCTGGGAGTTTATCACAGCTTTTTAAAAAGGAAAACTGAAACCAGTCATCAAATCACAGCCAGTACCCAAGAACAACAAGGGACCAGTCAGGGTGGTAGTGGGAAAAACCTTTGATGCCATTGTGATGGACCCCCAAAAGGATGTCCGCATTGAATTCTACGCACCCTGGTGTGGGTATTACAAGCAGTTGGAGCCCATCTACACTAATCTAGGCGAGAAATACAAGGGCCAGAAGGACTTGGTCATCACCAAGATAGATGCTCCTGCCAATGACATCACCAGTGACCCATATAAGGTAAAGGGCTTCCCCACCATCTATGCTGCCCCCAGCGGGGACCAATTAAATTAAACTTGAGGGTGGAGACAGAGATCTGGAGCATTTGAGCAAGTTTATAGATGCCACAAAGAAGAGCAGGCCCAAGGAAGAACTTTAAAGGCCTGGTCGTCTGCAGAAGGTGGAGCGACCAGACACTGTAGTGGTCAGCACTGGCCACCCAAGCAAGTGAGCCATCAGTGAAATGACAGTATCCTGGCTTCTTCTTTTTAAAACTTTGTTGTGTCACCTCATGCTCTGAATACCGAATAGCCATGAACAACTTGATGGTTTAGAGAAGTTTTTTATTTTTTGGGGGGGGAGAATACATTTATTTTTTTGTCATTTGGGGTCTGGTTTGGTTTTTAAACTTTTGCTTTAGTATTTCCTAAAACGAATAAGTTTTGGATCTTCAAAAATAATGGTACCTTTTTTTGAATATATGCCCACTGAAATTCAAACTTTCCGTTTTGATCCAACGTTTAAGTTTTCCACAGTGAACAATAATTTTTCCTACAGTAATCTTTGAAGTCTCCAGGAAGAAGATGGGGCCCCACAACAATGATTCTACCTGGTTCATAAGATGCCTTTCAGCTGATAGCATCACTTAAAGTTCAACTTTTCCTACAAACTGCTCAGAACAATTTCAAAGTGGCTAGCTGAGATGATCCAGCCTCACAGACTTCTCTAGCCAGGACTTGAGACAAGTCCTGCACTCTCCCATTAACACAGGCTGGACAGCTACCTCTCCCAGGGTTTGACAATTAACCCAAAATTTTTCTTTCAGAATCCCCCTAAAGATGTCATCACCCCCAGATAGCAGGAAGTAAATTTAAGATGCCCACATTCCCAAGAGGTGGGGTGGGTGGTTTTTGGTAGTTCAATGGATTATGGCTATTGTAGCTATGATAGGATAAAAAAGATTATTAAATCTACTTTAAAAAAGCAACTATTAGTTTTGAACATTTTACATTGGATTGGACTTTTGTATATTGTATACAAATGCTGTATATTGATAAAAATTTGAGATTAATTTTGTTAAAACATGCTGTACATATATTTCTACTCCTGTTCATTGTATTGTACCTATACAACTCATTTAACAATGCAATGGAAATTTCTAGTCCTTGAAAATTATTATTACCAACTATTTAGGATAATAAGGAAATACAAGTTAGTAGCTAATCACCTAGCATAATCAAACTTGTAGTCACATTAGGTTTGTTTTCAAGGTCAAACAAAGATATATTTTAGATAGACAGGTCATCTTCAAACACTTCAGAGATCTACAGAATATGTCATTTAAGATATTATAATAACCTAGGCTCTTTTTATTACAATGAGACATGTCTACTCCTGGCAGCACTGGTGTGGGAAGTCCTTCTGTATATGTGTTGCTTTTATTGGTTAATGAATTAAGAAGATGGCTTGGCCTGCGATAGGGTAGAATAGAGCTAGGCAGGGAAAACTAAACTGAATGCTAGGAGAAAGAAGGAGTCAAAGAGAATCCATGCAGCCCATCAGAGAGAGATGCTAGATGGAATCTTGCCATAAACCACAGCCATGTGGTGATACACAGATTAATAGAAATCGGTTAAATTAAGATGTAAGAGCTAGCCAATAAGAAGCTAGAGCTAATGGGTCAAGCAGTGATTCAATTAATACAGTTTCTGAGTGATTATTTCTGATCTGGGCAACCAGGAATGAACAAGCAGCCTCTGCTCAACAGATTTTTATTTAGAAAAAAGGGGGAGATGATGTGAGAAGTCCTTCTGTCTATGTGTTGCTTTTATTGGTTAATAAAGAAGCTGTTTTCAGCCAATGACTTAACAGAGTACAGCCAGGCCAGAAGAGATATATACAGAGAGAGCAGGCAGAGTCAGTGAGACTCCATGGAGCTGCCAGAGGGGAAAGATGTGAGCTGTCAGTTGGAACCTTGCTGGTAGGCCAGGAGCCTCCTGGAAAAATATAAAATAATAGAAATGGTTTAACCAAAGATTTAAGAGATAATAAGCAATACACTTAAGTGATTGGCCAAGCAGTGATTTAATTAATATAGTTTCTGTATGATTATTTCTGGAAGTCTGGGTGGCCAGGAAATGAACAAGCACCCTCCTCCAACATAGCACCAATCTACTTCAGTAAAACTGATGGGCAGCAAAGAAACTCCATATAGAGTCCACTTTCTTTGTGGTGAAAGTAAGCCACTGGGCATGAAAATTCCCCTGCCTCGACTGCTGACAGTCTTAATTAGACAAGTTGGACACAAAATGTCCTGCTTCACAGAAAAGTCTGTCAGATATGCTAAGCCTGTAGGCTCAAGATGGACGCCCCACCGTTGCAGAAGAACCTTGGGTGACTGTCCAGGCAGCCAGTTGTTTCTGCATTTCATTTTTTGGAAGTTACTTGGTCACACTTCTTACTTACTCAGTTAATATTATTTCCTTCTTGGGTCTCTGAGGGAGTTGAAGATTAGATCACTATAGTTTACCAGATGCAGAAATCAAATTATGCTAGAAAGTAAATTAGGTACAAGATTTTGGACTCACCAAGATAGGATCGATTTGAAGTATTTTCTCTTAATTTGTCAAATGCAAATGGACTAGAAATTGTTGATGTATTTATTGCCTTATATATTGTATATAGTTATTATACTTATTGTATATAAATTTCTTGTTTTAGTTATAGTCTTTTTTATTTTAGACAAAAAGGGGAAATGTAGTAGCGTTTCACTTGTATTTTAACAAATAAAGGTTGTGTAGGGATTGGGAAAGTAAAACAACTGCACTGGCTAGTCTTGCAGAACAGTTAGCCGTTACATACACCTTTGATACCAGTAGCCACAGACACGCACCCTTAATCCCAGAAGCCACATTAGGTGGTGCATGACTTTAATCCCAAAGGTGTATGCCCTTAATACCAACCCTGGAGAGGATTATAAAACAGGAGGAGACTGCTCTCAGGCACAGTCTTATTCTGAGATTCCAGAGGCAAAATCACCATTTTGGACTGAGGTTGAGGTAAGAGCCAGTGGCTGGCCGCTTTGCTTTTCAGAACTTCAGGTTGAACCCCAATTTCTCTCTCTCTGATTTTTTATTAATGCTTGAGAAGGTTATTATTAATACAGAGTGTGAAACAGGATCTTTTTTATTATTTCCCCAATATTAGACATTTTCTCATATATGAACTTGCCATTCTTGGTTCTTTTTTCAAATGTCTTAAAGTTAGATTGTTTCTGGGTGGCTCAGATTTTCCTTATGTGTTCCGAGTGGAAAAGAACTTCTCACAGCATGTGGCTTTTCTTTTTAATCATTTTTTAGGCTGACTTTTGATAAAAAAAAACAAGTTCTTTTTTTAACAAAATTTACTTTGCTTATTCTTTTTATTATAATTTCTTGAATCTTATCAGCTTTATTTAATTTAACCATCTGTAGTTCATTTCATAAGAAAAATAATCAAAGCTGGTGGTTTCAAATATTTCAGTCTATGAATTTAACGTACTTGCTTTGTTTTTTATCAGTGTGTGTTAAATCAAACTTTATCGCTGTAACAAATACCAGAAGAAAACAACATAGAGGGGGAAAGTGCAGCTGGGCCAGGGAGCCTAGAATGGGAAGCACAGCAGGAGAACCAAGAAAAACCCTGTTTCAACTCCTGAAAGTTCACACACACACACACACACACACACACACACACACACACACACTTTTTTCTGAAGCTTGAACTGCAGTTTGAAACCTGACGTGAATGCTGAGGTTGCCTAAAGAGAGACTCTTAGAAGGAAGTATGTGCCACTGGGGACGATGCTACCTCAGGGTTAGAGGAAGGAGAGACACTGCCTCAAAGGCAAGGGCATGGAAATTGGGGCAAGATTCTGGGAATTTTTCTGCGACCTCAAAGCCTGTCAAGATGCTAGGATATAACACTGTATGTGTGTACCTTGTTCCCTATCCCCCCAAAAAGGAAGAAAGGAGCTTTTTAGGGTTAGGAAGTGCTGAGACTTTATTTCCAGAATTCATACATACACTTCAGAATAAGCTGGAGCTAAGCAACTAGAATATGAGCTACTGAGTCAGACATTCTTATTTTGATATGTACTCTGTTCCACCTGTGGCAACTGAACAATCACACCCTGCAGGTGGGCTAAACTGAATGTTTAGAAATGAACTCCCTTACAGGCACACCTGAAACAATGTTATATAAGTTATCTGTGCATCCCTTAGACAGTTAAGTCAACATATAAAATTGAACTTCAAATCCATAGGTTTTTTAACATTTATTTTATATGAGAGTTGGAGACAGAGTCTCACCCTGTAGCCCAGGAAGTCTGGAACTACTGGAACTACTGTAGCCCAGACTAGCCTGGAATTTATGACCATACTCCTGCCTCAGTCTCCGAGATGCTGGGATTTAGATTTTAGCCTCTATGTTTGATTTAGGTTTGTAATGTGAATGAACCATCACAGGACCATGTGTTTGGACAATTGTTTGTCAGCAGGTGGCGCTGTTCTGGGGTGGTGCGGAACCCTAGAACATGTGTCCTAGCTAGGGGAGGAAGGGTGAAAAGGGCGGGGCCCAAGTGTTTCAAATTATTTTGTTTCTGGTGGGACTCTGTTTCCTGCTGAGCCACTAAGATACAAGCAAGTTGCATTGCATGCTTCCAGCACCACAGACAGAGCTGTCCCCTACACTCACGCCTTCCTCCTCCTCACAGACGATGTCCCTGGAACTAAGAGCCAAAGGCCTGGCTCCAGTGACTCACCTCTGCCAGCCATGCCTACCCCCCAAAAGCTGCCCCCCCCCCGAAGAGTTGGATAATAAGGTGTGGGGTTTTTTTTGTTTGTTTGTTTGTTTTTTAGCATGGAGGCCTGAGGATGACTTTATACATACAAATCTTTGTACATACAAAACTTTGTACATTCAGACATTGTAATTTTAGGATATATTTAATATTTTCAACTTTTTATTTTTTTTGAATTTTTTTTTTTTTTGATTTTTCGAGACAGGGTTTCTCTGTAGTTTTTGGTGTCTGTCCTGGAACTAGCTCTTGTAGACCAGGCTGGCCTCGAACTCACAGGGATTCGCCTGCCTCTGCCTCCCGAGTGCTGGGATTAAAGGCGTGCGCCACCACCGCCCGGTTAT